TTTCATAATTTTTATATGAAAAAAAAGGCAGTCGAAGAACTTCTTTTATAATATTTTATCTGTTTTCTAAAATAAATCTAAATGATTAATTAATATGAATAAGTTCAGTTTCGCTACTTTTCATAAGTACAATTTTTATCTACATATGTGCATTTGCTTTAAAAGAATCGTAACTCAAAGTTAACAAAGTGAGGATATCACGTGATTAATCATCATTTTATGATTGGAGCAGAGTATGTCCCTGATTTTTATAACCTGATGCATGTCTATAGTAAATTTGCACATCATTTTTCGTAATTTTTATATGAAAAAAAGGCAGTCGAAGAACTTCTTTTATAATATTTTATCATTTTTCTAAAGTAAATCTAAATAATTAATTAACATGAAATAAGTTCAGTTTCACTACTTTTCATAAGTACAATTTTTATCTACATATATGCATTTGCTTTAAAAGAATCGTAACTCAAAGTTAACAAAGTGAAGGCTATCACGTGATTAATCGTTATTATGTGATTGGTGCCTTATTTTCTGTCAGGTGGCTTTTTATATGAAAATGTTAACGGTTTAAATACACACATTTAATTTTTTTGTTTTTACGATAAATTTCACACATGTATTATAAATGATTTCTTCTTAATTCTGTACATAACCGAATCAATTGACTAAAGGTTAAATGGAAAGTTTGTAATCGACAGTGCACTTTTCTTTCGCTGCCTGACTTGGATCTGGTACATTTGTGAATGACTCCTTCCGCCTGTCCTAAGGATTTTACTGAAATAAAATGAATAGCGATAGAATGTTTATTGTTAATAATTACATTAAAGTGGGATTTGAACACATCCGACTTGTGACAGAGCTACGTATTGTAAAACAATATGTACGCTAAAAACAGTGTCAAAGTTAAAAGATGTAGAGATTGATATGACATTTATTTGCAATCAAAATCTGAGATCAGAAAAGCAAATAGAATATGCGAAATGAACAGTCTTGGAGTTTATTACCGAAATTAAGTAGGAGTTGAAATAGATGGACTCAGAAGATAACAATGCATTCATTTATTATTGAAAGTCCAATAAAACGGGAAATTCGAGAGTAATAAAAGAAAAGAAATTTACAGTCTTAAAAATTGTTATCAAAATGTTGAAGTTAGAGAGGATGCTAAAATGGTAAAAAATGATACCAAGCTTCCAGAGTAGTAACAATACAACCTATGCAACTACTAGCTACTATAGCCAACCCTAATAACTAAGGCACTTCGATCGAGGCATTTATAAGTTGGTCCTTATAATTGAGGTTGGTTATAATAGTTAGTGGTTGATAGGTTGTATTGCTTGATATCATTTTTTACTGTTACAAGTGGTGGTGACTGAGAGATTGAACAACAGATGAAGATCGATAATCCCAGCCATCATTATTAACTATCGTTAAAATGAAATTAGAGCTAGAAAAAATAAAATATTTGACATAAGATGTTCCTTTATTATCAAGAATAACTTAGATTCGGCAATAAGTGGAATAAAGTGGTTATCGAGATGAAATTGGAGTTGGAAAGGACTAACATAATGATAAGATATTCGTCATTAGGAACAAGCTGGCTACTGTTATCACAGAGATATGGTAACATTGTAACCTGACCAACACAGCTAAATAATACAATATACAACTCAACACTCTAAAGCTATATCGAGCAAGGCCTAAAATCCTGAATTTGTAGGCTTCGATCGAGATTTGGTCCGGGTTTGGTAACTTTAGGTCTTGCAGTTTATTACTAGGCCTTTGATATAATCACCGTATTTTATATAAAAGGGGGTTTGATTACTAATACGATATCTCTCTTTCTTTTTCAACGCATTAACGATAACAGTTCTATTTCAAATTACGGGAATAAGAAAATATGATTTTATGAACTAAACGTTATCGTTATTATCAAGAGGCGAAAAGGGGTTTTATTACTACTTGGATACTTCTACTATGTACTTTTTGAAGTTATAATACCAAGAGTTATCCTTTATTGCAAGGAAAGTTTCACACTATATATACTTTTTTTTTACATACGTAATGATACTAATAATAATAACTATCACTATACTAACTATACTAATTATTATCATTATTGTTATTACAATTTTACCAAGAATCCGGGTAATTAGAATTTTTATAATTCATACTACATTGGACCACTGCACTGCTGAGGTGGTAATTTTCACTTCTACAACATTTGCTTATTATCAAAACCCAAGACAGGGAACGCTGATAAATATATAATGTTAGGTGCTTGAATTAGGCATAGTGATAGAGCATTCATTTATTGTCAAGGCAGATGATACAAAGATTAATAATGATATTGATCTTGACTATTGCTAAATATTTGGTCCAGTCACTTAAATAACAAATCCACTGGGATGGCAAATATAAGTAGAACGAAATAAATAAGAATCTTGGAATTTGTTATCAAATTGAATTGAAATAAAAAATCTAAAAGTTTGCTGGAATCAATAATACCATGGTTATGATCATTATTAAGAAATGAATTGACAATGTAGGTTACACTATGTCAGATACATAGCGATAGTATCGAATATCTGGTATAATGTTGCTTTAATGAAAAAAAACAAAAAATTAAAACATGAGATTCTTGAGGACTTGTATATGATCTTGCTCTGCAATTCTCGTGATAAAAAATAAAATGCTCAAGAATTTGCTATGATCTTGCTCTGCAGCTCTTATATCGATATTACATGATGGAAAATGAGTGACAGTAAGGAAAAAAGTAAAAATAAATTAAAAATGTAAAATGCCTGAGAACTTAACTCATCTGACATTAAGCAATGAAAAATGAACGAAATAAAAGAATGAAGAATGGATTGAAAATTTGAAATGTTTGGAAACTTGCTGACTTGTTGGTGGTCTTCCTAGCAACTTCTCAATTCATATCTGATATTGAAAACGAAAGATACTCGAGGATTCCTTACTTCACAATCTTTATTTGATATTATGTGATATAAAATAAGCAAAAAATAAGCAAAAAAAAAGAAAAAAAAGGGTAAATATGAATTGAAAATGTAAGGTGCTCGAGAACTTGCTATGGTCTTTTTATGCAACTCTTATCTGATTATCTGACATTATGAAATGAGTGAATAATAAAATCGAAATGAAATAATGAATTGAAAACGTGTGATGCTTAAAGACTTGTCTACTTGTGTGTGACCTTAATTGGTATCTTGTTCCATGACGCCTGTAGCGGTAGAGCATTATCGTTATAGTACTCAATATATGTAGCTTAAAGATTTGTGAATATCGATATTATTTGCCAATTATGACAAAAACAGTAGCAGTAGCGGTAGGCATATTCATGTAAAAGACATATCGATATCGATATAAAAGTGATTGATTTATCTAAAACAGATTAGGATTTCTTAATCCTAGATGAACTGTGTTTTACAGCTCCTGTTTTAATCAAATAGTTCTCAGAACAGTTCAATAGCGATAGCGATAATGACTTTTTCTGTTATTATACAAAATTTATTTGAGTGCTACAAATTGAAATTGAGATTTCAGGCTTTCAATTATCGTTATCGTTATACAATGTATCAGAAAGATCCTTATCAGTGATATAAACTATAACGATAATACACCAACTGCATATTATTGTTATCACTGATAAGATTTTTTCCATTAATAAGTACAAAATTGATACACAACAATGCAATAAATAGATAAAAAAACAAATGAATTTTATTCAGTTTATTCTCAGACGGCATCTAGTTGCTATTAGATTATGAACTGAAATTTATATTTAAATAGAGGAAAAAGTGTAGTCATAAAGATAACAAAATTTTAAAACTTTTTATGTTTGATCATGTTATAGATGCCTGACGAAACTATTTTTGCCATTGATGAATTGACGAAACCATACTGTATAATGATAACGATAAGCGTGAAATAATGCCCATGGACATTATTTTGAAAATCGGGACCCTCAAAAATAGTATCGGTATCGGTGTATCGATATGCAGCTTTGAATCCCTTATAAAAATAAAAAAGTAAAAATGCCAGAACTAGTTTACTTTTTATTTTTTACTATAATTAAGGATAATTATTAATCTATATTTTGAAATAACGCACATGCGCGTACTCGAAATAATGCGCAGGTCAATTAATTAATGCGTTATCTCGCGCTTGTACGGGAACTGATAATTTTGCATTGATGAATGACAAAATTATCATTATATATTTTTGTTGGGCCAGTACATTATATAATTGAAAACCTGATGTCTCATTTTTTCTTGAAAGCACACATTTATTTTCAAAATTGAAAAAAGTTAATTTATTAGTGTTAGCATTAGTAATTTGGTTTAATTGTATAACAATAAATCTGAAAATCTACAATCACAATCAATTTGGCAATTGTTATCATTATCGTTATAGTCTACACGAGTAGATTATCGTTATTGCTATTGCTATACAAAGTCAATAATGATAACAATAAAAAACTCCCAAGCCTCACAAAAAAGATATAAAGGCAAATACGCCATTTCTATTTTTGCACTGAATACCATTGTATATACGAATAATGATGTAGATCGAGTGAGAGTTATGCTTGTGATGTTGAATCAAAGAAGTTAGTTCGATATAACAATAACAATAATAATATGCTTACTTAAAATCGAAATCAATTGTTAGCATTAGCATCAGTAACATTGCACATAACAATAACAATAAATTATGTAATGTTATGCAATGTATTAGGAAAAACATCAAAGGAAAGATAACAATAGTTTTCCATATATACCGATATATACTTTTGACAAATAAATCTATATTGTTTGGTTTATTGTCTTCGAAATTTTCTATTTTCTAATTGGAGATTGTTTGATAAATATAAAGCAAGTAATCATGATTATGATTGAACTTTAAAATACTACTGCTACCGCTAAAATATCAAATATCGTTACTTTTTTCTTATCTTTTATAAATCATCTTTCAGATACCATTAAATAATGAACGATGAATGGCTTGAGTATCAGTATACAAATGAAGGATGTCTTGAGTATCATGACCCTGACATTGATTACGAAATATTAGATGATAATAAAAGCTATCTCGAAAATGTATCAGTATCTGAAATACCATCCACCTCTAAAACTACAACTGATGAAAGCATAACTACAAATAATGAGCATATTATTAATGACATTGGTTTTGATAAAGAAGCACTAAATCATGCAAAAAAATTTGCTGCATCTACACTCAAAAATTTTGAACAATATGAAAGGGACATTAATTGGTTGGCATTGGATGATGACCTGCAATCAGAATATGAATCAATGTGGACTTTACCAACAGATGATCTTTATGCAATTGATTATGAAATAACAATAAGCAGTAACAGTAAAGAAGACATTAATCAAAGCAATACTCAATGTGTTATCATTGATTATTTTGAACGTGAAGAATGTTTTCGGTGTTGTTTAAATCCTGTATATAGGCCAATTAAGCAGCTTATGGGGATTTGGAAGTTAGATTCTAAGGTTTTAGATGTAGCACTCAAGGCAGAAACAGAAAATGCATTAACAAGTTTAGGAGTTTGTAATAATCATTTTAATTTTGATCAAAGCAAGAATCTTCATGTGGTTGAGTCAAAACATCATATTTCAATCTATAAAAGCTGAATTCATAAATGAAAATGTATGTTTTGTAATTTAGATAAGTATTTTTTTAGCAGGGGAAGATGTTGCACCCAGCATTTGTGGAAAATATTTGGGTGAAATATTTGCATTCCATGTGCAGGACTAAAAGTTTGTCCAGCATTCATTGAGAAAGATTATCAATTCATTAAATCATCTACAAGCTCAAAATTTGTTTGCTCACATTGTTTTGACAATGAAGGTGGACACTTTTTTCGACGTAGAGGAACAGGTGTATCACAATTTTCTTGTGTTGAAAAACATATAAATGACAATCAACATTCCCTTTATCTCTTAGGACGATGGATTCAAGAAATGTCAACAGACCAAGATCAAGAATTTCAAGCCATACTTTTAGAAGAGGTTTGGTCAGCTGTTGTTAAGTTTTTAGATAAAAAAATAATTATATCTAAGACCCCAAATGATAATAATAATAATACAAACATTGAGCAAATTACAAAAGCTCATCCACCAACATATTTTAGTATTAGAGCTGCACTTCGTATTAAAAAAGTTAATTTACGTCGATTGGAAGAAAAAAACAAGTACATTGATATTATATTAAACCAATTACAAAAATTAGGAGAAGCTCTAGGAACTGTGATTTGGCAATTAAGATCTGAGATACATACACAGCGAAAAATGCTTGAAACACCAAACACTTTACAGGAATTTCATGATGGATTTCCTAAATATATTAGAGATCTATTTGATAATTTTATCATTTTTATTATGCAAAAGAAGTGGAACATTGTTCAAAAAAAATGTATACAACGTGGACTTATTCCAAGCGAGTTTAATATAGAAAGAGCAATTAAGATATCAGCATTTATACTATCATTAATTTTTTCAATGTCATTTCCAGGCATTAATTTTTGGCTTTCTCATATAATGAGTTCCCTGTGCAGAAAACCCAAATTACTAAATTCACTTTATGCAATTCTGTGTACTGCAAATGTAGTCTCACATACAAATCGTTATGAAAAGAAATTAGAAAAATTAAGAATGAGTAATGTCGATATATCAAAAAAACTTTTACGTGGCAATAATATCTGGAATTTATGTGTGATAGATAACATTGACATGAAAAAAAGTACATTTACATATGACAATATTTTTGATACCCAAAGGTGTACTTCACATGCTACACTTCAGATGGTTTTCCAATTTACATTACCAGAACCTTTATCTAGTATCACTGAAGAATTTAGTTCAACATCCGAATATGAATTTTGGGTCAGGATGTCAGATTTTACCAAAAACGAAATTCAAAAGTTTGAAAATATTTTCAATTTTCTTTTAATTTCTAATTATAGTTTTGATCTTTGTAAATTGTGACAAGAAATAAAAAAAAATATTCAAATGGGATGTTTAGTAGATCCACCAAACGTAATTATTTTAGAACCCGGTGAAAATCCATGCAATGATGAAAATGTTCATAATGCTGTGAAAATGTATTATGAAGATGTTGGAATTGATTGCAATAGGTATCTTTATATAGCATGTGATGAAGCTATCTTCTGACGTCTTGTAAAATTACATGAGATTAAACCAGAAATATGCTTAATACTTGGAGGATGGCATATATCAAAAATAATGTGTACTACATTACTTCGTTTGTTTTCTGGTTATGGGGTTTTTAACTTGGCTGCCATTCTAGAAGTGTCTTATTTAGATAAGCTTGAAAAAGCAGTTGATTATATGGCAACATGCTGTGTTTTAGAATTATTATGGGTAGCAGTAGGTAATGCTCTTTGTTAGTATACAAACAACAACTCTATAAGAATGTGTGATATTTTAGAAAATAATAATAATGTAGTAAAGTATGGTATTTGTTTTTTTGTTGGACGGGTTTGTGGTTAGGTCATAAACTTAGAATTCGTCATGGAAATTATGATATGCAAATAGAGAACCTTATCTCATTTGCATCACTCTTTTCAGTAGTAAGGCATAGTAATTATGCTCAGTCAGTTATATATTTTTTATTGTATATTGGAATGAATCCTATTTTACAAAGAATATTTAGATATGTTTGTTCTGTAAATTTAACATGTCCAGGCTGTTATTTTGCTTTTGATGAAGCAATTGAAAGATTCGGTATTAAATTTATAAAACAAAATATAAATTCAGTTTTTCGATCAAATGAGGATCTAAAATTTAGAATTACTTTAGTACAATCTGAGCAAGAACAGCTAAATTTGCTTTTAAGTAAATATGTAAATGAAAGCTCATTAACACCAATAGATCGACCTATGAAATCTCGTGAAGAAGTTCTTCAAAAACTAACAAATCAATTGTTAGAAGCATTTGACTATACAGATCCTACTCAACACCAACTTTTTAGAGGAACATCACAAAATAATAATGAAGGGTTTCAAAATCTTTTTGAATGTTATGATCATGGAAAAGAACGATTACAACTTATTTACAAACAAGACATTGAAAAGTCTATACCACGTAATACTTCAGGTCAACGAAGTCAAAATGTTGTTGTTGACACTTTTGCTCAACAACAGAAACGTCAAAAAGAAGAAAACCTAAAAAAAGGTAATAAAAAGAGTTATAAAAGTAAATAATAAAGTTTAATATTTATTAGCTGCTATTTGAACTTTAGAAGTGTTTTGCTTTTAGTTTAAAGTGATTCTAATTCAGGTTCAATACTCAAAAATTGAACCTAAATTAGATTCAATAATTGGATACTAAAATTTTGATTCAAAATATGATACCTTATCTGTTAGAAATAAGAATTACCCTGTATTAAAAATAATCATAAATATATTATTATTATTATATTGTAAGCAAATATATTATCGTTACCAAGTTACAATATTTCTTAGTATGCATACCTACTCTTGGTTAAGTACTTGTGAATATATTGCTATGTATAATACCTTTTTTTTTTGATAAGAACCAGATACTAAAGACAGTGTGGTGCAGTAATTCTAAAAGTCTAAGACCTAATAACTAGAGCTCCAGCACGCAATTTTGCTAGTTTTAAAAAATGTCACGTTTATGGTAAAAAGTAACATGTGACTCGACAAACTATGTCGATACTTGCCAGTACGTCAATTTTACATGTAAAATAAGTGATAATGAATTGTAACAACTATAACGATTCTTTTAAATTCTAATTTTAACTGCTATCTAAACATTGTATAAATAAATATTTAAAGCTAAAGAATAATTATCTAAAATATAAAGTAGATTATAGTTTTGGTTTATTTTTAAATAAAAATTATATAGATTTTTTTCTTCAAATTTCTTATAAAAATTAGGTGTGTCATATCAATTGACACTATAATGATTAACAATATGCATGACATTTCCTATGACCGATATGATATCATATGATTTGTTATAAAATTACTAATAAAAATGATCTATGTTACCCCTACCCTTAAGAGTAGGGGGCACGTTGATCATTTTTATATAGTTATGTATGGTATATTAAAATTTTCACCTAAAATTTATATATATTACTAATAAAACTTTTTTATTTTATAATTAATTAATAAAAAAAATTATAATATTATAAATAAAATTATTTATCTATTATAGTAAAAATTTGAAGTATTGTATTATTTTAAAAAAATATACTTGTATATATAATAAAGTTTATTTAAGTAGGTTAAAATTTTCTTAGGTAATACAAAAATGAAGAATTTGATTGGTTAATTTATGTAAACTTATTAGTTAATTTTATAATTTTATAACCTAATCTTTAAAAATTCATATCTCAATAAGTTTTTAATTTATTTTAATAATTTTATTATTATTAGGATTAGAAAAACCTATTTTACAACTTTTACTTAATTATTAAAATCAGTTTATTTAATATAATTTTTTATAAAATTAAATATAAAAAAAATTTATTATTAGGTTTATATATAATTTTGAAATACTGCCTTCTACTCTTAAAGAAAGAGTGCATTTATAGTAAGAAAAATATTTAATGTTCTTATAAGTTAGATCAAGCTATTTAGTGTATTTAGAGAGAATTTACTTAGTATGTGCACTTATAGAGTATGCACTTAAAAAAATCTTACTGTATTTTTTATTAAAATTATTAATGCAAGTTTTTGATAAAAGAAAAGATAAAACAAGATGAAAATGTATATTTTTGTTAAGGATAATGTGTTAGGTCAATCTAGCAGACTTAGCTATCTAGCTATAAGAATATTAAATATTAAACATAATATATAAATTATAAGTAATTTTATAATATTATTGTATTAAATAAACATTTTACTTCTAATATATCCAATATAGACAGAAGAAGTCATTGATGTTATATAACTATTTTATACTTGATGTGCAGTATATAAAAAATTATTTTACAATACTGAAACATTTTGTTACATATACTTGTATTAATAAAAAAAAAGAATAATTTTATTATATGTATCATCAAAATAAAAAAATATTAATAGATAATAACAATATATATATATTCTTATTTATTAATAAGTTGTTTTTTTCTTATAAAATTTTCTTAATTTACTAAAATTAAAATTATTTATAAAAATTTAGACTCTGCAAAATTTGAATTATAGAAGCTAAACAAAAAATAAAAGATAATTTATACATTAACACTAATTAATTATTTAAATATTTAAATTTAATTATTTCTGAATATAATAATATAATTAAAATAAATAAGACAAATATTAAAAAAATCTAAAACCATTATACATACAATTATACAAACTTTTTTTAATGATTCTTTACATCAACTTTTTTCTAAAAAGCTTGACCTATGAAAACTATATAGTTATTATATTATATATAACAAAACTCTACTTTGAAGTAACTGGAATTAGAAACTATTCACTGCATGTTGTTTATAACTAAAAAGAGCTAAAAAAGACTTAAACCCTTATAAACAAAGTCCTCTAACATAAAACTCAAGTACTACTAAATAAAGAAGTAGTAGATAAGCTCTGAAGCTTTGTTAAGTACTATAAGGGCTTAGGTCTAAATAGTTATTTGTTTAATATAATACTCTATATAGCATAACTCTTACAAATCTTTCACAAATTAATTATCTTTTCTATTCTTATTATTGGATTTTTTTTTAAAAATTTTTATCAAAAAATAAAAAATCTGACATACTTTCTTCAAAGAATCAATACTATTTATTTTTTCAAATCAGTAATAATAATTATAAAGAAGTTATAATACTATATATATAACCTATAATAAATGATATATATTGTCACATGGTTTGTTCATGGGTAAGTTCGATTAGCACTTCACAGTTTCTTTGCTAGTCCAGAGATGAAATCAGCTTTTCTTTTTTTTTTGATTATTTCTAGGTATTTTTTATAAAAGAATTTCTTTATTGTTCAAGTTCTTCTTTTATATGTGCACTATTGTTGGCTTACAGTTGCTATGACGATATTTATTATGTACTAATTTATTGTAACTTAACTTTAATAATGTTTATTATTATATTTTTTTTTTGTATTTAATAGAAAGTGATGTTTATATTGTTATATCCCTTTGTTTTTAACACAATGAGCTTATTTTTCCAATCTTATAGTTTTATTGTTTTTAAACTTTAAGCTTCAAGTTTATCTATCGATCGTTATGACTATATTATTGGAAGCTTTACTTTTCTAGTCTTAAGATTGCTTTGGCTTTTTGAATTTTTCTGCTATTCTACTTTTACTGGTTTTAAAGTTACTTTTACTTTTGAATTTTTCTGATATTCCTTTGTTATTAGTTTTAAGATCACTTTTACTTTTGATTTTTTTTGATGTTCCTCTCTTATTGTGTAATGGGTATGTATATACAACAAATTCTTGAACCAATTGAGCCAGAAAGTATTTTATTATTGATTAATTTTTTTTTTTTGTGTTTTGTTGTATTTTTCTATGCTAAAAAATTTTTTATTTTTTGTTTTCACTCTTATGAACATAATATTCTTGTAATCAAAAATTTTTTTTCAATTCATAGCCTTTTTCTGGTAATTGTGATTTTCTTTGACTAAAATGTTACCAATAATGATTCTAGTATCACCACTAGTTTCTTGCTTCCTTGGTAAGTATGTCTGCTTGGTTAGTTTCTTTGGTTTATATTTAACCTCTCTTCTAATTTAACTTTTTCTCTTTTTTTTTTGAATCGGAAGGGGGAAGTCAGATGATCTCACAGTTACTACCAATTGTTGTATTACAGAAATTATAGACTCTAAAATTCTCTATTCATAAGGTAGATGAATGTCTCTCGCATAATATTGGATGAATTAGTACTCAAAAGAGGTGTTAGATTTGAGCAAATACTAAGAGTAAGTATATCTTTATTAACTATACTGTGAGACCTTTTTTTCTTACATTACAAGTGCATTACTTATATACTTTTCTCTATACACTAATTACACTAATTGCACTATCTATGCTAATTATACTAATTATGCTATTTATGCTAATTACACTAATTACACTAATTATACTATATTTGCTATATCTATTAATTACACTAATTACACTAATTACACTACATCTTCTAATTACACTCTGTATATGTACTATATCTAATAATTACTGTATATTAGTATTTGATTATATGATCTAATTTAAATGAAATATTAACAATCTCTTTTTAAATCGTAACAATATCAATTTCAAAAGACAAACAAAAACTTCAACTCTTCTCTTTATATAATAAATAAAATACATTATAATACAGAAATAAAGCAAATATAATGTACTCTTTATTTAGTATTATATATAATTTTAATGCCAAGTATGGGCAAAAATAGTGCCTTCATGTTTTCTATTTTTTCTTTACTCTTCTTTTCTTTTTGTCTTTTTCTTGAATTTTTTTTCTTTTTGACATACATTTAGGTTTTATAATTAGTTTTTCTTTTTTTTACTTCTTTTTTTTAATTTTCTTTTATATATTTTGTTATTCTTTAGGCAAGAATTATAAAATCCTCTTGCTCAATAATTAGAAGAGAAAGTATTAAAAGATTTAGCAGTTATAATAAGCTTGTATAAGCATTTAGTAATATATCTTGAAGGTTTAATTGATTTAAAATAATAAGTATTAAGATAATATCTATTATAGTAGGTTGCATATAAGTGCTCTAAAAAGTAACCAGATGGGTCAATATTTAAAAATAGAATAATACAGATATGCTTTTAGAAGACTTTATTGTAGTTTTTAAAAGTCATCTGAATAAACAATATTGGCATAGCTGTTAAAAGTTATAAAAAAAAAAATCCAAAACTGATTAGAAACTTGTACTAAAGTAATCTTAAAAAGTTTTTGATTTACAATAAAAAAATGATAAATATTAAAAATATTGATTTAAAAAAATAAAAGCTTATAAGAAGTTTTTTAAGAACTTGGAATGAATAAAATAAAAATACATTTTATTGCTTAAACAAATAGTTTTTTTTTTAAAAAAAAATGTACTGGACAATAAAGTCATTCTGTAAACAATAAATACTTTAAATTATATTAATAAGGTAAAAAATTAATAATTTGGAATTTTGCATATTTGAATTTTTTTGAATGTATTTTTTACTTAGTTATGCATTCAATATTAATTTCAGAATTCTGTACTATAACT